ATGAAATTGCCTATTTCAAAATTAATTTTAACTGTATAGAGTTTTTACAGGAGACACACTGATCCTGAAAAACAGAAAAATAGGCCTTGCATTTAAGCCTTCATTAAAGCATTCTGGTGGACCATTGGGCCTCTGGGTAACACGGTAACACAGGGTAACGCAGGGTAACATGTTTGCCTGGGAACCCTGAGATTGGGGGTTCGAATTCGTTTCAGCATTGCCAGCTATGGCCGGAGGTCCACGTTGGCGAGGCTCAATTGGCTCAGCCGTGCCGGGGATGATAGAGGGTAAGCTGGCTGTTTGTTGGGCTCATTGCTATAGCGCCCTCTCTGGTCATGCTGGGCACATACGGCAGTGCGAACTTTGGGTACGCTGACTACGTCATCCTCCAAAGTCACAGGCAGTGTACGACTAGTGGTGCGGCTGCAGCGTGAATAGACGGAGACTGTCGTCACATGAATCGGAGGAGTCACATGCTCAGCCTCTCCTCTCAAAGCTGGCAGAGCAGGTGCTGTGGTGAGGTTGTTGAGTTCAGGTTTATGAAAAATGGGGGGGGGGGGGGGATTCTAGTGGGTTATTTTGGGTCTTTATTGTACAAGGAGCAGGAAGATAAGAACTGTATTAAAAACCATTATAGCCCATGTTATTTCCTCTTGAAAACATGGAAGTATGACTGTTGATGTTAACAGGAGAAGGCGTTTAAATGAGTTAAACTAATCACAATTTTCTTTGCGCAAATAGACAAATATTATGCTGTGTTACAATCTAAAGACCCTTCTTTGGATTGTATTTGAGTTCATCCGTTTCAGAAAAGCCACACTTGCGGAAGCACATAAGCCTGGTGCATCCAACAACTACTTATTATTCTAGAGTTTATGCATTATCATACAAAGGGATTTATGGTTTTTCTTTTACAAGATGGCCCTGTAAAATGCCGTCTTTCTTCCTTTGGTATTTGACAGCTAATGGCCATTTTGTACACCACGGTAGTATGTGATGCACTTTCCACCCTGTATCCCATAAAGCCCTTTAAACTACCACGGACAAGGACATATGCCACATAAATCAGCAGTAATACAATTCTACAGGAGAGGCAAGATATTCCCTTTCTACTTTACATAACATGTAGAGGAGAGTGAGTTGGCAGTTTGGTACACTGTAACTGGAGCACACTATTTATAATAGAACCTTCTGGATCTTGAGCAGAGGTTTTTAAGGGAAAAGGTCAAACATACCCAGACACATGCATGCAACACATAAAGGGCCAGTCCATTTGCATCCCGAATTTATATGAGGAAATGATCATAAAACAGAACAGAGATGATGGAGGGCAATAGCAACTAGGCAGAAAACTAACATCCACTTATTTTGGTACTTCTGTGGTCCAAGTACTAACACTTTCACTGACATTAAAAATCCCAGGCAGAGATCACAAGGCTACTGAGAGATGCGCGTTTCCAAAATGCTGGTTGTTTCCAAGCTTTAATAAACATGTCGGAACATGGGGAGTGTTTGATCGTCATTCTCTCTCAGATCAGTGTTCAACATCATTTGCAGACTTCAGGATTTAATATATTGTTGGCTGCTGCTTTCTTTTATGCTGGCAAGCTCTAAAACATTATAAATCCAGACAGCAGTCAAACGCATCAGCAATAGGTAGTTAATTGAGGGACAAAGAGTGGGGCACAAAAACTGGATAAGGATTTTCGGGGGGGGGGGGGGGGGGGGGGGGGGGGCGGGCAGGGGGTTGGAATCAATTATGTCATTTATAGGCAGACTGTCTGTCATTGCTTTACAATGCACGTTTTCAAGAAGAAATATGAAAACGAGGGGGAAAAAAAAACCCCAATTTTTCTGATTTGGGGAAAGAAATCAAAAAAATATTTCCAACACCTTTCAAAGTAAGGTAATGGCACACTCTTAGTGCCCTTTGCAAGCATGATGCTTTTCAAGGATCTGTTGAGATGTAATAGCCCTAGGAAACTGGAGGTTGGTAAAAGGCTGTGCAGGAGCAAAGCGAACGTGCAGGATCAGAAGACCTAAAATGGATGCCGTGTTCTTTAATTTATCTGCTCGGTGTGCTTTGTGGTCTTCCAGTTACCTGTTGTGAAATGGTTAAATGTGAAGAGCTGAATCAGCAGTTAAAGCACTATGTAAGGCTGCTGATGTGAATCAATTTCCATAAAAACGGGCTCTGAATCAATCACATGACCAGAGCACCGGAGACCGCAAGACATAGCTTGATGTCCAGTTGAAGATGTCCGAGAAATATCACCGAACAGCAGGGGACGTTTTGGATAACGTTTTTTAAACTTAGCCCAGGGCACCATCATACATCTGCGCTGCCGAAGCCGAACATCACACGTTAAACTGCTGGGAATTCAGAAGAAGAACAAAAGCATTTTTTGTGAAAAGATGGAAAAAAAAAGGGTACTTTATGTCAATTGTCAGGAAACTGTCAGACGATCACAAAAGCACAACTGCCGTCGTTAAGGCCCTGTCGGCCTTGCTGTTTCTTACACGGCAATTACGTCCAACACCTGCAAGGCACTAAAGCTTGCAATGGCAATCATTACCATTTACAGAGAACTACTGCATGAGCCCTAATGCATTCACAGGACTGTTCATTGTGTGAAGTATTATTCTATATTAAAATAACACTTTCTTTTAAAAAAAAAAAAAAAAAAAAAAAAAAAAAAAAATTGTACAACCAATCCCTGTGGAAAATCACCAGGCACTCAGAAAAGTCTGTAACATTCAGATTCAACAATTGTTGACCTTTCGTCCATTTATGGATGACCCCTTGCCCTGACAGATCAATCCACAAATCCGTCCATTCAGAACAGAGTAACCAGCAATCACTCATTGGTAGACACAACGAGAAAAAAGGGCTCTTGGCTTAAAAGCTGTTGTTCTTAAGGGTCTGCTTCATTAGCCTCCAGCCGCGTGCTGTCATATGATTTGTGTTCATGTCATGCTGTCCCCCTTCCATTAAAGGAAAAAAAAAAAAAAGTCTATACAGCGTAAAACAAAATAAAAATGAGGAATGGCATAATATGTGAGATACACTATGGCTGGTTTTATGGACAGCACTGGCATTTTGTTGTGTCATTCTTGTTTCGCTATTGACCCACATGATCACAGCAGCATTAGCCCACATGCTTCAAAAGTTTAATCAGCACTTCATAAACTCGTTATGACAAAAATCATTATGTCTTGTTGTGTCCAAATATTCTGTGTCCTTTTTGTGCCTAGGCTCATTTTGTATTTATTTTAATATCTGTTATATTCAGTATTCAGAAATCTGAGTATTGATACAGTAGTAATTTTAATTGCTTTTTTTGCCATTGTTGATCAAAGATTCCTTGAGAGAATGAAGCTGTTTTTTTTGTCAATTTGAACCCGTATTCCTTTTCAGATCCCTTAAAGGTGTATATTTGTTCAGTGAGTGACCTTAATATATATATTGTGTGTGCTGGCAGTGTATTTCTCGCTTGGAAACCAATCAGAAAGTATTGTGTAGTTATGGCTGTAACTTGTGCACAGTACAAATGAAGGCCAGGAAAACAAGCTATAGCTACATTTTAGTTTGAGTTGTTATGAAGAATATGCTTTCTAAACTATATGACAAGCTATCAACCTGTTTTCAGTTTGGAAGTTTAGCTTGTCATACATGACTGTCAGTTTGTTTGACAAGCTCTCAACTTGGACTAAAGATAGCCCAGGCATCAAAATGAAAGTTATGTCAAATTATTCAATTATTGAGCCAAGGTAATAATTATCTGTCTTGTACTTTCCGCTTTACACAGTATGTTTACATTCCCTTTTCCGTTCTTACCAGGGCTTTGTTGCCATTTTTGAACCTTTGACGTAAAGCAAACCACCAGTCACAATGTCAGAATTTATTGCGATCAATAACTCCAGTGACTTGAAAGAGGGGGTCACAGATGTGACTTGGAAGGGTCGGGGGGTGCTTGTCAAGGTTCAACTGTAGAAGAGATTGTACAGTAATAAGGTCATTCATGTTCACAATCGCTGGAGTGACCTGCGGTCTGAAAGCCTCTTTTCCACTGTAGGGCTGAACGGTTACTATGCCCACATCACGCCATGCCACACAGGCCTGGACTTGTAGGAACGGTTACAGTTTCTCTTCCCATCTACGTTGCTGCTATGGCATCGTTGCATGCGATGGCATCATTTGTATGTAATAAACTGGTGGCAGTTGAACGACGATATGGATTTTGAGACATTTGTAGAACTGTTTTTTTGTTTTAGTTTTTCTTTGCCTGCAGACACCGTCTTGGGCATCTTTATTTTTCGTTATTTTTTCAGAATACCCACGCTGACCATACGCAAAGGAAGAGGATGTAAAAGATTGGATGGGGTGTCACAAACATGACGCAAATGAAAATATGTATACATATACAAATACGTAAATAACCAATCAGAGAATATCTACGCCATGAAGCCCTCCCACCAGAAAGTTTCTGCTTAAATGAGCACTGGCATTCTAACCGTGCTGAGAGACCCGTTCTGGGCACAGACTGTAACCGTTCCCTTCCAAATCAAAACCAGTGGAAATGCCACTAGAACGGTTACTGTCCGTGCTCAGAACCATTCAGCCCTGCAGTGGAAAAGAGGCTAAACCGTGCATAGGCTTGTTCTTATTATTAGGTACATATAATATATACTTTAGCATCAGATCAGATGAACCGAGACAAGAGAGATGGAGAAGACCTGTTGTCCTGATGAAGTGAGTATCAGTACGACACGATCTGGGGCAGGGGAGGGAATGATGAGTCGGTGGGTCTGGCAGTTCTGCCTTTCAGCAGGATGGAACAGTTGGTTATACCTCTCTACATCTACATTTAAGCTTTTAGCAGACACTCTTATCCAGTGTGGCACACACAGTTTATATTTGTACACACTATCCATTTGTATAGCTGGGTACTTACTGAAGCAATTCAGTTTAGATACCTTACTCAAAGGTACATCATCAGTAGCCTACCTGGGACTCGAACCCACCATCTCTGAATTAGAAGCCAGGGTCCTAACCATTGTACAACACTGCTTCCCCAATGATATTATTTTGAAGTGAGAAAGTATGCTGTACATATTTTTGTTTCTGTCAGGTAGACAAACAAAGAAGAGATACTGTACTGAAAGTTAAACAGCCACCTCTGAATGGGTTGTGAGTGCTGCGTTTGAAGTCCGCAATTGTGCCACATCCCTTTGCTCATTATTCGCTCACACCTCATTACCTCGAACACCCCTTACGAAAACAGCAAGCCTGTTTTGTCAGTCCTGAATTCTGACTGAAGTTGGACATTTTGAGTTATATCTGAAGATTCAAGACTGTATTTGCTGCCGTGTGACTTTCAGCTTGAATTGAGTCAGTCCTCGACATTCATCTGTCCAACGATTGTGATCAGCTATTCATTGCTTATGGGCATTGTGACATAGAGAGGATGGCTGTCAACACCCAGGTGAGGTTGTGTGAGGCACTGCCCTCACTTTCTCTATCAGTCCTCACCAATGAGTCAGTGTCCCTCAGGCAGAATTATTTCAGAGGTATATTTGTGCTTCAGCTACATTACATTAGCTGACACTTTTATCTAAAGCTAAAGGTGACAAGGCTAACCAAGGGCCTTGCTGAAGGGCCCAACAGCAATGGTGTTCTTGCTGACTCCCAGTCATATTCCGTAGCCACTAGACTACAGGCTGTCCCTATCAAGCTGTTTGTCCAGACCTGCAGTTTTCTTGCAGGTTTAAGAATGAATTTTAATTCATTGACTTCTCACAGTTATGAAACATTCATGGTCTACTGTAGTGTTATAAAATATTTGGCAGTAGGCATTAAGAGGACATGTCATTGAGGGGAAATTACACCAGTAACTCTGGGTATGAAGGCTGTCTGGGTATAGAAGGACAATATCATTCAAAGGTACAAAGTCCTCAAAGATACAAAAGTACAAAATAGTTGAGCCAGGTTACATTGAAGTTCTATGACAATACTCAGATAATATATCTCAGACATTTTAAATGTGAACCTTCAGGACCACTATCACTTTCAGTGTCGGTGCATGATGTTTAATATAGAAAACCATACATAAAATGGGAAAGGTTTATTTCTGTATCATGCATGCATGCTGAAATCTTTATTCTTTTTTAGATGTTTGTTGGAGTTTACCAAAACAAAGAAGGAGAATTATTTTCAGACAACCGCACAACCTGCCAGTTTTTTGCCACATAACTCCTCTCCCTTTGTGCTCACTGTTCTGGCATCCCCCCTTCTGCCTTTGGCTTTCACCTCCACTGTAAAACCTTGTCCTTTCCAATTTGCTATAATATATTTAATACATTTATTTTTTCATTTCATTTTCTCTTGTCAGTTTTTCAGGGTGGGTCTAACCTCACCAATGCCAAACATTTTTTCAGTGGTCTACCCTCACCTCAGACCAAGGTGAGACTAAATATTGCTGATCAGACTCCTAAGACAAAATGTAACTAATGTCTTTCACACTATTCCTGTCATGACTTGAGAACCTCCTCTACAGCGTCTTTAAAAATGTGCTGTACTGAATGTTAGGTTGGAGAGAGGAGGTTGAAAGCGAAAGCAGCCAGTGCTGTTTGGTGACTGTGAAGCTGGAGCTCTGTGGGGCATGCAAGGGTACAATGCAAACACCAGCCTGTGGGGGGTTCAGACACATCCAACGGCTTCCTCCCAGCAAGCCCAAACATATGACGGCTGGGCTTCTAAAATAACTTCAGGAGGTAGAATTGCAGGGTTATTCTATGCCCACATTGCCTGGATGCAGTAGAAAAAAAATGCTAGCTTGTTTTATCATCACAGCCTCCATCTTTTATGCTGGACTTCCTTCAAACTGTGAGACAGAGCTAGTGTCCGCCTGTAACATCAAACACTAGTACCAGGTAGGACAGCACATAAAACCCAGAAAAACCTTTTAACTTGTCATCTGTTTTGTTTTGCTTTGATTGAAGCAGCATTGAAATTTGTGCTGAAACAAACACATGGATAGAGACCATTAAAATTCCTCATTTAAATGTAATCACTCATATCTTCAACCTGTCATAATAGCTATTGGTATTAATATCAACATCCACAATATGCCCAAAATAAAAAAAAATCCCTGGCTTTCCTGCATTTTGGTAAACATTAGAAGAATGCACTAATTTAATGACCTTACCAAAGTACATTATATTATAGGCATTTTGCAGATGCTTTTATCAATAGTGACTTAAACTCAAAGTGCATTGAGTTGGGGACAAGAGTGCAAAAGTACTAGCATGGGGTAAAAGTCCCAAGTGTCAGAAGGGATAGCATGGACTAAACCCTGTGCATGACCTGCTGAAGAAAGAACAAAACGAAAACCATGAGTAACTGCAACAACAATCATAAAACAGAAAAATTAGGCCGCGACAAGCAGGACTAAGGCTAACTGGAGGAGCTAGGGAGGGATGGAGAGAGGTGCATCCTGAAGAGGTGAGTCTTCAGTCTGCGCTTGAAGGTGGACAGACTATCTGCTGTTCTGATCTCCATGGGAAGGTCATTCCACCAGCGGGGAGTCAGAACCGGAAGCAGACATGACCCGGAAGTGCAAATATGGAGAGGAAAGTACATATTCAACTGAATGCTTTCTTGGATGTCCTTTCGATTTTCTCGGAGACTCACCCTGTGTACCATTCATATTGATTCTTTCTAAAGACTGTTTCATTCTCTTGTCAGAACCGGTCATAAATAGTTAAGACATGCCATTGCTATTTCTCTACATTCATGATTGGTTTTTCATGGTGAGTGGATGACAGCTTGAAACAGACTGTTTAAACAGACAATTTAAAGAAGAGACACACCTCATGCTCTTTCAGATGCACTGAGAAAGATAAGTAATTCTATATTTATTTCCTGACAGCCTGTGCAGGAGTTTTTATTTCTCTTAACAGGGCAGATTAAAGGAAATTGCTTTCAAATATGACTGAGCACACACTGGCACTTTATTTACCTCAGAAAGAAAAAAAAAAAAAAAACATTTTTTTCCATATATTGCAGGCTTAAGACACTAATGTGTGTCCAATAGGTAATGGGTGTCCAAATACTATGTAAAATATATATGTATATACATACACTTGCCTTTTTGAAAGAGATGTCTATAGTTATCTAAGATGATTTAGGGTGATGTACTATCTATAGAGTACTCCGGAAATGTAGTGACATCACGGCCTAATCTAGGATTCAAACATGAAACTCTTGATCCAAAGACCACGATCCTAACCACTGTACTCCACCCCACCAGCACCCTAATTACATTTTTTGTCATTTTCACAATATTTTTTGATTACAAAAATGGGGTGAAAATGTCTTAAAAGACTGGGAGAGCCTTGCTTATTTATATCCCTCTGCTGTTGGTAAATGTCTAAATTGTCCTTAATGGCCACACACAGCCTGGCCTAATTGCTAATGGTAATGGGTAGACAGCTAGCTTCATTATAATCACACGTGTTTGTCAGAATACGGTCTCAAAAATAGATGCCTATGAAAAACCATGTCACTTAAGGCCAAGCATCTCCAACAGATTTTACTGTTTGGAGGGAACTGTCTCTTGTTGAAGTTGCAGCTTCCAGAACGCCCAGTGAGCAGGTGAAGCTTCTGCTCACTAAAATAGATCCCTTCAAAAAACTTACTTCCTTAATTGGATGCATTGACGGTACCATAATCCTACCAGGTTTTCTCTGTCTCTGTAAACACCAAATGTTCAGTGTATTTGATGTGGTGCCCACCTGCATTAATTCAGCCAAATAATACATCAAATTACACTGTACAAGTTTCTAATGGAACTGAAAGTAGAGACATCACAGTCATTCAAAGACCACGGCTGCCCACTGCTAAGATCAATACAGCTTTTCATGAGAAAATAACGACTTCAAATTCATTAGATTTACTTACGCTCAAGTCTCATTCCCCCTTTGGGTTGTTGTATTCTTCTTCTAAAAAACAGTCATGAGACACTTGAAAAGAAAAATGGATCATAATAGCTATGACTTGTTTTGCCATCAGTCTTAAATTGTAGGTGTGCCGACTGATTTAAAACCACAAACCACAAATTGTCTAAAAGGTATGGACACTGCTGCTTCACACAAAAATACAATCAATTGATCACAGTCTTGCATCTAAAATGTAAAATATGGGTAAACAATGGAATTTACCTTGTATCTACACATTTTTAACTGTTATAGTGCCTTGACAAAAGATTAAGTTGAATTAAGAATTTATGTAATGGAATGCAGGCTACATTTGTATGGAAATATAAAATGCATTTCCATGCAAAATTACTGCATTTGCTACCTATAGATTTCATACATACATTTAATATTCCCTCCAAGTGAATATAAATGTTGCCAGACCAAAAAAAAATCAAATTTGTCATTTTCCCAGCATGCTACATTGCTGTTGCAAAAAGAGCCAATTACATTTTTTACATTTGGAATCAAGCTCAGATGTGAAAAGAAAGACAAAATCTCAGTTGCCATTATAGTTAATTCTAAATATTTACAGAATATTTCAGACATTGAGTCTCAACAGTCCTCAAAAATCAGTGTTCTGCTGTTTCATTTCTGACATAGACATTCACCGCACTGTATCAGACATCACTTGAAAAAGCTCATCATAACCAGACGTATGAGAAGATGCTTCCCTAAGTAAATGCTTCCCTTCGCTAATGGCTCCATTTTTATCCAGACTCTCAGACAGATTAGTCAAGGGTGATTCTGTAGCAAGCGGGTCTTTTTTTTTTTTTTTTTTTTTTTTACATAGATGCTTTCCCGAACATATTGACCCAGTTCCTCTATTTGAGAAGGCTATTAATTCCGCTCCTATGTTACGTCCTACAGGCAGGGCCGTTTGCTAGTAGCACAAAAATCCTCTCCTCCTCCGTCTTTCTCCAGTTTAGTAAATGATCTGAACGATTCTCGGGAGACAGTGTCCTCAGTTTAACACTTTGATCCTCTGTGTCTGCCTGCGCACTTGAGTAAGGTGTTATGTCAAGAGACCATCTCT